TTAATATGGACTAAATCACTGCCACAACCTTGAACCCTAAAAGTAGGTTCAGTGAAGATTTAGCATGGTCATTCAAGCTTCAGTCAGTGTTTACAGGGACCAACTTAACAAAACCATGGTGGCCATGGTGGTGTTCCAGACAAAAGTGTCTAGTAATTAAAATTCTTTTGAATTGGAACAAACATGGCGGCTGTGACGTCATATGCAAACAATCTGTAGTGGACATGAAATTATATCTTCCTGTATGGAAATGTTTCAGGTGGAAATGTTTAACAAAATGTATTAATAACAATTTAATTTAATTAAGTAAATTTGTTCATTAATGGTATAATTCAACACAATGGTTCAACAAAATTAGTAGGATAATATATGATTGCAGAAGTATGAAATTAATTTTGAACAATTTGAACAGGATTTGTCATCACAAGTGAATTTCCTATTTCTAAGATTTTGGTTGTGGGTTGTTACTGTGCCAAGAATTCTTAAAAAAAATAGTGCTATATTGTCTACTAGTCACCCTAAATGTTGTCACATTTTCTGAAAGCACACAATCATAACATTTAATTAATACTTTGCTGTTGATTTCAGGTCAGTTTCCAAAGCGTTATTTCCAAGTTTGTTGTGAATATTCCCAATTACGTTTCTAAATTTGGAATACTGGGCATGGAAATTGCAAAGCTAACTTTGCAGATAATTGCGTACCAAAGTACCGCAATACTGAACTGAAGTACTGAACATGCAAATATTCACAACAAACTTGGGAATCCGCACTTTGAAAAGTGACCTGAAATCGACAATAATTTAATTAGGAAATAAAAAATGGGAGAAAATTCCTGTTTCCCAATTGGTTGAGTCAGTTTATTGAACTTCATTCCCAATGTCAGTCAAACCACAACAGTTCTCAACAAAACCAAATTTAAATTACTCTTCAAATGTAGTAAAATATAGCAGTTCAATATGTTTTAGCTAAGTCTGCACCTTGACATGTAAATAAACTAAACAAACAATAATTTAATCTCAAATGCAAAAATTTACTAACTGACTGTTTATATAGTCAATCCCTTAGTTAATAGTTACTTGTTATAGTCATCAAGATTGGTGTAAATTGGTTCTTTATTTGAAGTACCCATATCTGATGAATGGTAGGAAATACCTGAAAAGGCTTGCTCATTCGTCACTGACCATAAATTCTGTTGGGAATTTGTATGTTGTATAACTGGAGTTGGATGTTGGGAGTGCATTCCAATAGGCAGATTAGTATGCATGGTTGGAAGCAAATTTGAGGGTTGGGAATTTCCTCTATTTTGAAGACCAGTCATAAGTTGTATCATATACGAAGCTCGTGCTGTCGATTAAGCTCAGATTGTCTTTCTTGGTATCTTAAATATGCGCCTCTTCCCTTTTCTGCTCTGCCATCAGCCACATTTCCATTCGTTTTTTTTGTGACTCTCCCAAATTTACCAAGCTGGTAGATAATTGACTTAGAGCCTGAGCTTGTGTTGTCACTAAACTTGAATTTGACTTAATTTTAACTTTATTCAACTTATCAGTTGAATCTGAATTATCAGCTTGAATAGAGCTGTCTTCTTCTTCAGAAATTGTATACTTTTGAACCCTATGTTGAACAAAAATAAACTTTTACAATTAATGATTAAATAAAACTATGGTGTATCATTCTCCTTGGTTAAAAATGAAACTTTTACACCAAATGATAGTCTGTTAAATTAGGTTTATCCAACTTCCAATAGCTTAATTAAATAAGCAGATAAATATATTTATGAACGATGCTGTATAAACAATGACTGTTAACTGCGCTTGTTCATAATTGCAATACTGTAAATCATCTACGTATTCTGTCAGGGGGGAGGGCTACTTACCAGTCAAAACAGCCCCAAGTCAAAAGAGCCCCAAGTCAAAACGACTATAGATTTTCTGCTAAATTATAAAATTCATTCAAGGATTAGGTAATTTAGATTGTAAATATTGAACCATGGAATTATTTTATTCAAATATGTTCACCTGTGCATAGCTGGTATATTTTCTGGCAATGGTTTATTTCTGTTGTTTGGTAACATATACTATAACAAATTCAGAGCATTTTCAAGGATTTGGCCAGTGGGGAAGCAGGGCTGTTTCGACCAATCCAAGCAGGCCCGTTTTGACTCGGGGCTGTCTTGAATGAGCACTGGAGTGCCTATCAAGGATCACAAGGTTAGAGAACTTTCTCCAACACAGTGGGTAGTGAATGTCTGAATTTATAACCCTCAAAAAATGAATTCTTACATTGAAAATAAATTTCGCACTATTAAATGCTGTAGTGATATCACATTTGTTTTTACCTCTTGTTAGTCGTTTCAGACTTTTCAGTTTCTTCTCCTGAACCTGTTGATGCACTTGGAAGAGAGCTAGGTTTCTTTTGAAGTGTTTTATCCTCTGTAACTATCGTATCCTCCGCTTTCTTCATCACTACTATTGCTGGACAGGATGTCATCTGCTTGGCTAGCGAGCTTTAGTTTGGTATGAGTCTCAGTAAAGACAGGATCCAGAATTGTATACCATTCAGGGTCATCTTTTGCCGCCTGTCCACTTCCTGTCTTTGCTCTATCAGTTATTTTACGCCATTGATCTTTTAACCATTTATATTTATTTCTCAGCTTTGGAACAGATGTATCGATTCGATTGCCGTTTACATTTTGTTTCTCTTGACTCTCGTTAGAAGTTCTATGCAAACTAGCATCAAACTCCTCTTTAATTCTTTGAGAAATGTGCTAATTTGCCGATTTCTTAATGGCCAATGACTCTAATTTGTGAGCAAAGTCATCAATTTCGTCTGCCAAAACATATGCAAATTGTTTTAACTCCTCTTCTGCCCATTTCCTAACTCTAACCTCCGTATTCTTTTTGGTTTTAGGCTTTCTCTTCATAGTTTTAGACGCCATTTTGTTTGTAATTGAGAATCGTTCCAGGATCTTTCGAGCTAATTTGGCCTCGACTTTGTCGACTTAAGTGCGTCGGGGTCAAATTTTAGTCGTCTCGTATTTACACTAGACGAATTAAACGTCTGAGACGACTAAGTCGTCTGTTAAGTGCGTCGGTTGGACGCATTTAACAGACGACGTTAATTTTTTATTCGTCTGTCTAATTTCCCGTATTTATATTAGACGACTTTAACGTCTCAGACGTTTTTAAAAAGTCGTCTCAGACGTTAAAGCCGTCTTCTAATATAAATACGGCCATTTTGCGTTATGCAATCTTATACGTGTCAGTGGGCGTAAACAACATATCTTGTCTACAACTTTGAGAAGGTACAGATAATTTTTTCTAGTAATATCTTACAAATAACACTTTTAAACACAGAACTATCGATTTCTAACATATATAAAGTAGGTATGTTATTTTGCGTTGTATGGGCTTTATTATAATGCAAAGTTCAATACGAAACGCTTCGTAAAATCCTACAGGTAGCTCTTGATAATTATTTTCTTCTTTCTTTTCTAAAAGGTTAAAACAAGTTAACTTTCACATAGAATGAAAAGGAAAGCTGTACATGTTCAAGGCCTTCAGAGTCCAGGCGAAAAGTCCGAAAACTGGACAGCAAAGTCATACGTAAATAGTAAAAACAAACTCACCCTGTACTTCAGGATTTCTCACACTTTCTTTAAAATTTGAAAAAGGTGATTTACAACCTATTGTGTAAAAAGATGTCCAAGCTTGCATGGTTTTTTAATCTTTGTTTTCTTCACTCCTGGCGAACAGCTATAGTTTTGAGATCAATGAGATGACCACCCATGCATAGCCATGCACCCACGATCATTGATGAACTTTAGACTTCGCTAATGCTTTCCTTTCCCCGGGTGTAAATAGCCGAACGGAATTAATACCCTCGCCACGGGCTTCGCTCTCACGCTCCGCACCCCACCGGGCACATGACGTTGTTTCAACGTTAAAATTTGGTAGAAAAAAGGTTACGACGTCGACAACCTAATATCTACGTTGCTCTGACGTTGTTTTACAAACATTGGTTCTACAGCAGCCAACAGACGTTGAATTAACGTTCATTCTTGGTTAAATGTACGACGTCGATTTGTGAACCAATCTCAACGTTGTTTTAACGTGGATTCAACGTTGAATTATGGTTGACGAGATTGGCAACCTAATTTCAACGTTGTTTCAACGTCGAAACAGTAACGTCGATCCAATTTGCATAGTCAACCCTTTTTCAACGTCTATCCAACGTCTGGAAGGTCATTTCCAACGTTGATTCAACGTTGGATGAACGTCATTTTGCCCGCTGGGACGTGGCTCGGGGATAATAGGGACCTTTAGCAAATACGTGACGGCAACGGGACGACCAAAACAAACTCATTTAAATAAGTAACTTTAAGAACAACATGTCTTGCATGTATATTATCCGTTGTATGAATTTATTGCAGTTTAAGCAGGTTAAGACAGTAGACTTCTACTAAGCCAATTTGCCGAGGACGACTTCTCGCGGCTTGAGAGGCAGACGTTGTATACAAAACGTGAAAAGCTTTGGTTTGCTGTTGTAAACAGAGCAAGGACGACGTTTAAAACTCCCAAGGGACTTTAATTATGCATTTTCTTTCTACACTGTCATAAATTTAATTGTATTAATAGCCGCCGCCGTCCTGCTAGCTAAAGGTTCTTAATAGTAGTTGCCATGGTAACCTGGAAATAATATGGGAAAATAATAAAAAAGATAATTTTTCAATAGCCTAAAATTTAATATAAAATAAATAAATGTTTTCGAAACTTTTATATATTAAAATAGCCGTGAAGCTGCAGGAGAAACTAAATAACTCGTTTTGCCGACAGTAGTTTGCTCGAAAATACGGTAACATGATTTTTTTTCATAGGCAAAAGCTATTTTTTTAGTTATATTTTGGTCAAGTCACATTTACTGTGGATAAAATACCATTATAAACACACTTAAAAAACACGATGCGTTGTACGTATTTAATAATTGTCCCAAATGAACAATAGTAATCACCGCAATTTCATGTAAATACATGCATGTAGCGCAGCTTGCATAAAACATGTTATTATATACACAAGGTCTGGATATGAGGTATTCTGCAATCTGATTGGTTCTCTACTAGCAGGATATTAGCTCATATCCTGCTAGTAGAGAAAAACAAAATGGCGGCCAAACTGAATTTACGATGTTTTGCAAACGAGAAAACGGCAAGTTGTCGCTTTTTATAGCCTTCACAGGATTAAAAACACAATGAAAAAAACTCCCACAAATTGTTTTCAGGTTAGCAAATAAATTTTTAAAATTTAAAATGTTTAAAAATATATATTTTTGAAAAAATAATCGGCCGAAAGAGCGAAGATAAAAACATAAACAAAATAGAAAAATATTGAAAATATCCGAAAAGCAAAGTCTGTGAATTCAGACCTTGTGTATATAATAAAACAGTTATTCCACTCACTCTCGTCGAATATGAGCGATAACCGATTCGGCGCTACGCGCCTCATCGGCTATCAGCTCATATTCGACTCGAGTTCGTAGAATAACTGTTAATTATTTATTGAGTTAATAATAGCCTAAAAATGTCGCAGTTATGAATGAAATCAAAAACACAAGTACCATATATAATTTTTAATACTGAAATGTTTATAACACTTACCCAAATATAGCCAAGACAATGATGCAATTTATTAAAAACATCTGGTTCGTCTCCGACAAAATTCGTGTTTATACCTTTCACACTTTGTTTCACGGTTGACAGCCACTAATTCATAAACCTGCAAGTTTGTTCCCATTTAAAAGCGAAAAATATCGCAAAAATATATTGTAAAACAGCAAAATACATCTTTGCAACATGAAAAACAATTTTGTTAGCGAGCTTGTACTCGCGCATGCGCATAGCGTCAAAAACCGTCCATCGCATAATGGAGGACAACTTTGCACTAGCTTCGCTATGTTCTCAAATACCCGGGTGTAAATAGCCGAGCGTAATTAGTACCCTCGCCCCGTAATTTACGGTGGTGTGTTCCAGATAAAGATATGAATAATTAAAGAATCCAGACTCGATTAAGAACTAAGCAAGATAAGAAAAATCGGCAGAAGAAGTTAATATATAGTTTCGAATGTTCTTTCAAATGAGAAAATAAAAATTTATATTGCTATTTACCTTTAATAATTAAGCTACCTTACAACGGCAAAAATCACAATAAATACAATTTTAATACTTTAGTTTGTGGAAACAGCACGTAAATTTATTACTGCAAAGCTTTCGATCCGGATCTTCATCGGTGCTAATAATATGTGACTTGTTCAATTCACACGCCCTTTTATATTTTTTTATACAGGCAGATACCAAAGTTTTGACTGGGTAGGTATGTTTCTGTTGACACTAGTCTGGTGTTATGATTATGTGTACGAGTATACTTTGCACGAGTATCCGTTCATCATTCTTTCTCTCGGCAGCTGTACGTAGAAGACCAGCATCAATTGTTTCTGCCAACATAAGTGGGGTTCTCCTTCTCTTCTTAGTTACCTGGTTTGAAACAAAATTATTAAACTGAATATCTGCTAATAACAAGGTTGGATGTTTGTCGCATAGAAACTACTTTACCCTAAATAAACCTAATTGATCACAATTCAATATATTTTTCCAATTCAATATATTTTACCAAACCAGAGAATGTTGTGCACATTGCGCTAGTATTATGACCATACCTTGTCTAGTGAGAACCACGAGGCGTCTCTTCCACAAATAATACATATCTCTGGGGGTACTGCATGCGCGTTTCTTTTAGGCAGGGCCTTATTTATAGCTTCTGGGACTGATTGCCGCGTAATTTTTCGCCTCGGTTCTATTAGCCCCACTTTCACGTGTGATTCTTCGGTAGAAGTTACAGTTCCTTCTTCTTTTTCTTCTTTTCTCTGTTGTCTACGAATCTTCTCTTCATCACAAAATCTCTTCCAGCATTTTATATGATGGTACCATTCTAAGTTAATGCTGTTAGGGTTCTTCTCCATGTATGAATTGACAGATCCAGATCCAGGTCGATGTATGAATTGACAGATCTTCTCCATCGGTATGAATTGACAGATCAACGATGTTCTCGTACGATTTCTTAGCCATTTCAGTTTGGCCCATTTTGACCTACACTCAAGAAATTTCTTAAGCCTTTGGCGTGTAACTTTGCAAAGTTGCTCCGTAACGCCGTCAAATTGCATAAAACATGAGGATATTCGAGTTTTATAAATATCTTCAGCCATGATTTATTTGCATAACTGAGCGTGTTTCCACATCGAAGGATTTGCGTTGGTTGTGCGCGTGCGCAGTGCAAGTTTGGCTGAGTTGCGCATGCGTATTTGCTACCAAAACAATGGTTGTTCGAATATTTCGAAGCACGAAAATATCAAACTTTGGAGGGATTTTTCTCCCAATTGTGCACCCTTTTCTTCTATTGATTCATGTGAAAATTATGTAGTTCCACGAGGGGTGCAACGGA